CACTGCACGTTAAAGACAACAGCAAAAGATATACTAGAGTTAACACTGCATATGAAATAGCGAAGGATGTGCTATGAGTTAATACTACAGATGGTGGAAAACAGTGAAAGATGTGCTATGAATTGACATTGAAGATGACAGATAACAGCGAAAAACATGCCACGGTTAACATAGCAGATGGCAGACAACTATGGGTTACAACTGCAGACGAAAGATAACAGTGAGAGATGTGCTGTATTAGGGTTATCATTGCAGATGGAAGATTATAATGAAAGATGTGAAAATGACAGATAACAGTGAAAGATATGTTGTGCTAGGTGTTATCATTGCAGATGGTAGATAATAGTAAAAGATGTACTAGGGTTAAGACTGCAGACGGCAGATAACAGCGAAAGATGTGTTAAGACTAACATTGCAGATGGCAGACAACAGCAAAAGATGTGATAGCGTTAAGATTGCGGTTTTGATCATTGGAGTATATTTCTGTAACTAAAGATGTGTAACATTTTTTAAAAGCCCACCCAAAAATTAAGATTAACACCATAAGGATGAAAGCGTAAAAACTACACCTCCAAATATATGATGAGAATTAGCTATATAAACGTAAAACATCACGCCAAAAATCTTTACATATAATGCTTTTTGACCACTTTAAATACACAAACTAAAATGAATGGTAACCATATTTATAGTTTCGACAGAAACTTTCTGAAGTTGCTTATTTCATTCGATTTAGTACATTCATTATCATGCCTTTTATTAGTCGAAAAGGTAATAGTAAAATGTTAGTCTCTTTTTTTTACAAGTTAAATATATTATAAATTACATTACTGACTTTCTAAAACTACTAGGATAAGCAGCGTAACTCCTTTCGTGCAGTATCATAATTTATCAGGCCAGTCAAATAGACGAGAGAATAAAAAAACTAACAGTGAAAAACGCCATAGGATATGAAATCATGTCAAACTGAATTGGTAGTCTTACTTAAGTTATGCTTATCAGCCAGCCTATTATCGTTTTCAACCAGAAATATTATTTTTGGTTGTTTCTTTGTCTGCCTTAAGCAATTGCCTGTGCAATACCTTTCGCTCCTTATCAGCTCACTGAGCCAGCTGATCAATATCAAAGACAAATTAAGCACGTTCAGAATGGAGATAGCTGGTTGAATAGAGACTTGACGACGTTAACATCAATATACGATACAGTAGAAGAAAAGAGACTTTCTGTGATGAGCCACCCTTTCAGGGGGCCAAATAATTGTTACAAACCCTTCAGGAGGAAGAAGGATGTTTTAGAAATGTAATTGAGGTTCAAATTCTCCATTTAACTGGATGTTTTAAAAAACGTTTGCATTATTCTATCGTTATCTGCTGTAGAATTCATGAGAAATTATCTTATGTCCGTTTGGTTAGGTTGTAAACGAACAGAGGGGCAACATGCTACTGTGTCAGTAATACAACTTTGAAAGCAGGTGTTTTTTTAATCTTTTATTGAAATCAATGTTGTTCGAACCAGCTTTTGGCATCAATAGCTTACAGCAAAAAAACGTCATTGCAATGTAAAGAAGTAGAGGAGAAAAGTGTCTTGTGACTCGATGGTTTCCACCTGCTGTCGTATTTAATGGATTTAAAATATTCTTTTTGAGTATGCAGTTTGAGTTTCGGACACGTGTTGTTTTTATTATTATTATTATAACAGCTCTCTCGTTAATGTCAGTTAAAACTTTGTGGAAAAATATTGGAGTGTATAATATGATTAATATAGAAACCCGGAAGAACTGGACACAAGAATGCATGGCAACAACTGACCAATATACAATAACTTGTGGAATCATCATATAACGGTGACATCTCTACACGAACATGGACAGAAAATAAAATACTATGTGTCTGGATTTTGGTTCAGAACAGAACGAATGACAGAGAGCCTCAATAACAGAGGACATAGTGTATATAAAATTTGTAATGCAAACTGGCTAACCAACTGTACACGCTATTGAAGATAAAAAAGGTAAATATGTTAAAAACAACGAGAATGAAATGCATTCAGTCGTTCACCGATTTCACATTACTAGGAAAGCAGAATACTCGTAACGTACGTTGATAAATGAGAGCTTTCTTACCTAAAAGAAAAGAATAACAAGTTTGCCAAAAATATAAATTTACTGTGAATAAATCTTAGATCAAACGGTTGAAAAATGCTTTCTTTCCTGACATCATCAAAAATCAGTTCTATTTAACGCTTGAACTGAACAAGAGATGTCGCCACCGACTACAACAGGTTATGATTCTCTGTTACATCAACCATCTAGTAGCTACTGATGGTAACACACTCTAGAGGCTTTGTGTTACTGAACTAGGATTACAAAACTAAGCTGTGGTTGATATACCACTTGACAGACCATGGGCTATGTTTAACACTTCAACTCATCAAGAACACTTCGTGCAGGTTTTATGTGTTTCGGAAACTCATCCTAGTAGTATAATTACTCAAGTTTCCGTTTTCGCACAGTTAGCTCATGTCTATAAGTGCCAAGAGTCTGGTGGACGTAGCGTGACTTTGTGGTTAGTGTATTCTGACTGTGAACCCAAGACTTTATGGTTCACAACCTTCAGGAGCGTTGCTGTTATTTAAGTGTGACGACCAAATCTCACTATTCAATCAGACAAGAATATCCCAAGAGTGTGTGTGCTGTTGTTTAGCTGCCTTCTCTCTAATCTATCATATTAAAATTAGAGACAGCGTTATATGAACAGATAGCCCGTATGTATCTTTACGCGAAATTCTGCGACAGATCGAATGACTGGCCAAACGTTCTGCATGACTTATCATTTGTCAGTAATGAAATGATGTTCATTTGGCTCAGTGCACCCTACCAATTTAATTTATTCCAATTAAAGTCTCTCATTTTTTACTTTTATGTGTAAGAAACAAGCGAGTTTAGTATTAATTAAAAATAAATACTTCTATAGAGGTTGAGTACGCTGTATTATATTGATTATGTAGTCTCACCACGCCGTTGCAAGCTATGTCGGGTCAATCTCTATCTCATGATAATGCATCTTGACGATAGCTTTGCAGCATGGTTTCAATGAGCTATGATGTAAGGCTTTCATGTTCAAAGCATACTCTTTCTTTCTGTAGACTTTCCAAACTCCTTTTAGTTTGCAAGAACGATGGTTTCTCAATTAAAAAATCCGATCTCTATGTCTTCACATGGAACAGCATGAATACCCATTTTATTTTCCAGCTGCTTGACATATGCAACGGTTGAACGGGAGGTATGACTAGAAGTCTTATCTTGGTAAACCCATATCCTTTTCGCCTCGTTTCCAAATAGAGATCCTTCTTGTATGTATTGTATGTTAGCACCTAGAATACGTAGACTGGTTTTGCCATTGATCTTTGTGTTCTTGTATTCGTGCCTGTTACAATATACCACATTTTGCTTACCACAGCTGGGATACGACTTGTTTCAGGCCTTTTGGATAGTCCTGGTTCAGTGTTGATCCACATTCATTTGTTTTCCAATGCCATTAAATGCAAAGGGTATACCCGTTTTTAAAATTCCAAATCCTCGATCTGAACACATCTATGTGATTTGAGTGTATGAATATTTTACACTGGAAAGAGCTGTTACTTACTCTTCCCTAAAACGATCAATTTTTGGTGACTTCAAACTACCTACGAAACGCCAAACAACGTCCAAATGTAGTCCATATTCGTGTCATTTCACCACGACTTTACATCGGTTGTGGTTGTTACGTGACTTGCTGATTTGCATATTCAAAATCGTTTTAATAAAACGCACTCAATTCTCTGTAATGATGGTCATACCAAGTTTTCAGTTCGTCGTGTAGAGATAGCTTAAACATACTTTATTTGCATCTCATTGAATATAATGAAATGCTTGCCCAAGCGTGCAAGCTTCAATTCACAATAATCCAAGAAGATAGGCAGTGTTAAGTCACGAATATTTATGGATGAATTTCTGAATCAGCAAATGCAAAATAGATCTAACGTCAGTTTTTCTTTTAAAATCCACTGCTACAGAATACGTTATTCAAACAGTTGTAAGTATAATTAATCTTCAGATGACAAAAAAAAAGGTTTCCAGACTATACACCACCAGTATTCAACGCATATATCAAAACAGATGAAGGAAGACTGACTGGTCTTGATATATTAAATATTATAAAATCTAAAGCAGTTTAAAAATAGAATAAAATAATCAATTTTGGACTAGAAACACATTTTTTAATCAGAATTAGGAACTTGACAATGCAGTAAAAGACCTTAGACCTCACACACATTGACGTAAAATTCTATTATTAGACCTTATTTTCAGGCCACATGAAAGAACCTAAATGCTAAGGTAGATGATGTGATCAATAACGTTTATTCAGTATTGAGCTTTGAAATTATAATACTTTTTTGTTTAAGTTGGGTAGAAAAAACTTTAAAAGGCAACCAAAACAACTGCACTATGCCTTCGTTAGTCATTTAATGCTTTACTTAAAAGTTAAGTTTGATGAGGCTTGTTCCCAGAAGTAGGTTTTATCTCTTTCGATTGGTTTGAGTTGCTTGTTCGTTGCATAAAATTAGGAAAAAAATGGCACCAGTAATAATGCAAAGTGAAAAAATGCCACCAGTAATTATGCAAAATGAAAAATGACACATTAAGAATGTCATCGTTTTTTCTCAAAACAAAACAACAACAATACAAGAAATTCTATGTTTATTTTTACTTAAACCAAATAAAATTTTATTCGATTTGCGTTATTACTGGTACAGTTTTAGAAGTGTCACTGTTACCAGTGGCATTTTTAGTGTGTTGTTTTGTCCACGTTCCACGATTGCTGGGTGTCATACTACCTGACGCCCTTGTAGTTGGGCAAGCACATAAATAAGTTGTAGTTGACAGTATTTAGACAGAATACTGACTGCCTATATTAAGTGTTATCTTTTCTTTCTGTTGTTGTTTTGTGTGTTTAGGAAGGCCAGAAGCAATGTCTCTCAACAAGACCTTACTCGCCATTGCTGGAAGGTCAGCCCTTTTATTTGTTCGTTACTGTAGCAATCCCCGTCCTTATCGTGCCCACTGGATAGTGCGCCACCTAGCGATTAGTCCTGGAGAAATACGTCTGCATTATACCGCTCACAATGTGACAGTGAGTAGTAATTTCTGAAGTTACGAATGACGTTTTGTTTAGAAAATTCACGAAGCATTCCTGACTGCATGCCAAAATGTTTTCTAAAATGTACATCTTCATTTCACGAAACATAGACAAATATGTATCTACCTACCTATATATATATATATATGTGTGTGTGTGTGTGTTTGTGTTACAGTATTAAAAAGGTGTGTAACTGAGTGTGTTATTCATATTTTTTTCCATCTGTCTTACAACAAAACTATTAATTGTAGTTGTCATAAGACATTAGTATTTGGCCTAATACTAATGTCTTATGACAAGTATAATTAATTATAATCATATTTTGCCAGCTTGAAAAAGGCGTTTATACCATAACAGTTGTTGTGTCACATTTACAGATATTTATGAAAATAATGGGAGAGTGATTTCATAAATTTATGTTTTATTTAGTTTATTTTTAGCATTCACTATCCTATTCTTTCTCCAGCGGTTAGACACCCCAAATTGTTTTCAAGCTGCATTGAAGATTTCGAATGTATCTCCAGAAGATGGAGGAGAAATTTTGTTTTTTGTAAAGAACAGAAAAGGTATCGACGATGCAGTTGTCTTGCTAAACATCACACAAGCTAGTTTCTCTGTATCAGTGGGTAAGTTAGGCTTTTACTCTATATCAGTGGGTACGTTAGGCTTAAGAATTACTCTTTTTATCTGTTGGTACGTTAGGCTTAAGAGGCTTTTCTTAGAGGAACATTATGGTTAAACGTTGAGTAGCCCTAATATGGAGTTTTTTGTATTCTAATTAAAAAGTACTTTTGTAAAATAAGAATACGTGAAGAATAATTCTACTGAGTTTTGTATATCAGCCTAAGTTTATAGTATTTCTATTTTCCTACCCTTAAAAAAATGAATGCTTCTAATTCACAACACACTCACTTGTTCTTTTGCGAGTTAGATTAAAATCTAAAATAAGATTCCAACTAGCACTTTACTCATTCACTATATTTATTCTAAATTTTATAAATATAATAAAAGTGATTAAATGTTTAATTCAACATTTAAAAAAAGTGTCACTTACCTAAACCTTCTTGCAATATTCAGTAGCAGTTTGGGACTTATAAATTTGCCATTTTTCATACACATCTAAAAGATTCATAATGTTTTCCTTCTGTTGTATACAATATGTTTTCATAATATGTTGCAACTTTCACGCAGTATACAACTGCAGTAATGAGAAGGTTCAAATAAAATGAGGATAAGTGTTAGACAGAACGACAACTTTTGTAATACGATCCTCTCTATATGACATACTTAAAGCTTTAAACAGACCTGAAATGTTGAGCAAAAATTTCCTTCTGTTTTTTCATTAAGGTTTAGATTCAGTTGTTTTAATAATGTTCATTATTGGTTAGGCACTATATACTAAATATTAGGTTCTACGACTATCTGGAGAGCTCAGGACGTCGTCTTATTGATCATTGTTTCCCTACTACTTGTTGCTTGGACAGAATTGTTTAGCTGCTTTCTTGGAAGTTGATCAAAGACGAGAAAATGAATAAGTCAAGTCCATCAAAGGTATCACGGATTTTTGTTTCCAAATATTATTGTTTAATGTTTTGTCTAAAATTTCGTGTTTATAAAATGTATTTGCTTTTTACTTAAACTTTGGGTCGTCTTTAAAAGAGTTTGTATTTTTCTTATATTAAACTGTTACATAGAGTAGGAAAACAAAATTAATACGCCGAGATCAATTAACTGTTTGGTTTTAAAAACGATTAACCTTAAATTTCTTATATATATATCACGTAACAGACGATAAGAAAATGCCTTATTGTTATTAGGTAGATTAGAAAACATTAGTTGTTGATAAAACGTGTTCCAGTATATTTCTTTACTTTATCAGGAATGACCCTTGTATAATATCATATTGTTGCGTCATCGAGATCATGTGATTCTCACGCTCTCTACTTTCTAGAATTATCCTGTACTTTGGCGAATGTTCTAGTTCTTACTA